AGCAATTTGAAGACATTCAATTGGTTATACTCACGATGTTAGGACATTTCCTGGATCACTTGTTTAGCTGATTAAGAAAAATGTTCCTTAAATTAATCGACATAATATAATTACGTCCCTAAAACAGTAAGATTTGATAATTTCAAAGAATTTAGGCCACTTTAAAGTTCATACAGCAAGATAATCCAACATTGTTTATGTCTAACAAAAAAAAGACAGTTTTAGGATAAAAAAAAAAGAGGAAAATGACTAGAGGTCAAATAAGGTCAACTATGATTTTTCCCAAGTATTCAAACATATGAGCAGAGGAGCTGTCTCAGTGACAAGTATGTATTTGAAAGCAGAGAATTGTGTGTAAGTGTGTGTGTGTGTGTGTGTGTGTGTGTGTGTGTGTGTGTGTGTGTGTGTGTGTGTGTGTGTGTGTGTGTGTGTGTGTGTGTGTGTGTGTGGGTTCACAGTAAGGTCCCCCCTGCCCACACACTGAAAGCCTGAGTGACATCAGACGCCTCAGGAATGCCGTAGTAGTAGAAAGAGAAAGAGAAGTGAAAGAAATCCCAATGGAAGGCGAGATGCAGCTCAACAGGACGGACTGGTTTAAAGGATTGGAGGGGGGACTCCTGTAAAACCTGAACAACACGTGGAGCATGTTGATGACTTGAACCAGTGTTTTCCCACCTTCCTCATTGGTTAACATTGGCATTTCAAGTCTATTTTTATATCAGTTTACATCTAATGTGTGTAGTCTTCATTCCTTTTTGGAGTCAGCATTGGATGGCAGGCAATATTCAACGCTTGTTGTAAAATAAACATGGGCTATAAGACACATTTAAGGTCACCTATTATGCAAAATCCACTTTTTCATGGCTTTTATATATAAATATGATAAGATTCTGAAAGTTTCAGGAAAAAAACATTTGCTCTCTTTTTGTCCTGATCCATTTATATGTACATATAAAAACCTGTCTCAAAACAAGCTGATCAGATATTGGCCACTTTATGATGTCATAATGTTTTTTTGGGTTGTGTAACTATTAGCCCCCCCACCTGATAACCTGAATCTCCTCCTAGAGCACCATTGTGTTCTTTTTAACCAAATATCTCTCAGAGGGGCGTGGGGAGTGGCACTTTATTTTCATCTACAGTAACAGACCCAGAATCAGCACCTTTGAAACAGGGCTGAAATAGAGGGGATTATGGGATGCTACAATGCCTGATCTGTTTGGTATTTCGAGCCAAACACTTCAGAGACATGTTTTGTATATAACTGAGAACTATAATATATTGATGAAAAAGAGTATAATAGGGGACCTTTAAGACAGAAATAACTCACACAATCTACTGTTGAATGCCTTCAAAGCTAGAAATGTAACATTCCTCTGTTGAAGAAGTCTGATCACACTTATCAACTTAGCTCATGAGGAAAGCAATAAGCCAGCCCCGGGCAGATTAGCATCAGCTCACACACCCTGACAGAAGAGGAAGTAAATTGTGCATTCTCACCCAGCTAGCGTCTCGGGGACCAGTCACTGTGTCCGTAAGACTTCTCTGGAAGAATCATGCATTATACTGTTGCAATATACAGTACTGACATTTTGAATGATGTGTTACGGGAATCATTTTGAAGGTCATTTCAGCTGATCCTTTTATTTCACAAGCACTATGTGTCTTCTTACAATTCAATTGTTTTTGTAACTTTTATGACTGTATGGAGAGGTTGGGAAGGTGAAAACACTATAAAAAGTAATAGTTTCTTAAATATCTCTTTAAATATGTTTGAAAATATGTAACACTGACTAAGGTAGACCCAAAATGGACCACATTGAAATACAATAATCAGTATGTTTAGTCAAATGTTTAACTTTGTTCTATTTTTACATTCTTTCAGAGTACCGACTCTTCTCCAGCAAGTTAAATTCTTAAAATGTTCCATGTAAAGTGCAATGTGCATAAACAGATACATTATTATACCACTGTGTTAGTCTATTACAAATTGCTTCTGTAAGCATGTCTACGGTATTGAAGGAATGTAGGTCACTTTGGATAAAAGCATCAGCTAAATAATATGTAATGTAATGTAACATAGCATGACTAATAACAACTTCTCAGTCACCAAACTAGCACAACCAAGGCGAACTGAACTCCAAGTCTGATCATTAAAATGAAGTTCAGCAGAATTTCCCCAACGCTGTTTTATGTTGTGTTCTGACAGAATGCAAATAGGATTGGACTCAGACTTGGCTGAGGAAGAGAGGATGCTGGGAAGGAACAGGCGGCCCTCTCACAATGGAGCTGTGAGGAAACCAGCCCGGAGGAAAGAGAAAGAATAGTCTTTGAGGAGCTGTGCAGGTTGAGACCCTAGCCACACGGAGACGGTAACGAAAACGAACTGAATTCGATATCAAAAAAGTATTCAGTCCACACGCAATCGGCACCAGAAACGTGCCCGTCCACACGAGACCGCTCCACCCGCTGGAGACGCTGTAGTACATATGCCGGGCCTGTAAGTGGAGCTGTAGCAGCGAAGAAGACTTCACGAGCATGCATGGTTGCCATGGTTGCCCTTGTTTATTCTCCGCTGTGGATTTAGCAGCAGAAGTGGGGAGAGGCAAGGGCCAGGGCTCTGGCTCTTTTCTCCCTCCCCGAGGCAAGCGTGTGCTCCTGCTGTAAATCTCCCCGGTAGTCCACCAGCAGATGAAAAACACCCACCTCTCCGCCTCTTCCAAGGGATGAGGGAACCGGGCGGCAGAGTTTCCGTTAAAGTTCAAATCTTCCGGACAAAATTATAAAAGTGCCGGTCAAAGGTCTTCTTTGTTATTTATTAAGCTTTAAAACAAATGAATAACAACTCTATATAACAATATAATAATAATATACGGAGTCTCTCTTTTCCTCCCCCTCTCCTGACAGCCCGTCAGTATTTTCGTTATCAAAAAATGATCGTATAGGGCGTAATCACGGAGCCGTTTGGCCCCCCAGAGCGTTGCGTCTGCAGATCTACCCAACTTGGGTACCCGTTATCGTTTCTGCGTTTCCCTGTCGGCCTTGTGTGGCCGAACCGTCTATAGAGAACTGTAGCGGATACGACCCGTATCGTCTCCGTGTGGCTGCAGCCTGAGTCAAGTTCACTGGGACCAGATCCTGGGTCAGCTGGCTACATTTGGTATTCACACGGATTAACACATGCATGATGGGATGAAGAAAGAGATGTACTTCCTAATCGGGAATGTGTTTGCATGCATGAGTGTGGCCTATGATTAAGCGCGGGCATGTACAGTATATATTGACTTTAGTGTGGTCACGGTAAAAACAAACACTGTCTACTGTACTCCTCCACAGAATGTGAAACCAAACAGTAGCAGCAGTGTGAGAATGAATGGAGTCACAGAGGCCTTATCTTGATGCTGAGATGCCAATGCAGAAGTGACTTTATGGACACTTTTCCAACCATGCCAACATGCCCTTAAGACCTACACCGAACCAAACCAGATGCATGTGACACTTTTAATTCCAACATCTCGTGCTACGCATCAAAAAGTCAGATGACAAACCATGACATTGAGCTAAGATCAAAAAGGAGCATACACACACACACAGCTATTCCTTTCACCTCTGTCCCTTAGCGCTAATGTAGTCCCTTTTTATAGCTGTCAGCCTGTTGACATGATGGTAATAGACAAGGAGTATCACTTCTATAGCCATTCTCATTCAAATGTATCCCATTATCATATAGTACAGTGTGTGTGTGACAGGATAAACGGTGCAGAATAACCCTAGGTGTTGTCAATAGACAATGTCTTACAAGAACAGGATCTTTCATGGAAATGTGATGCCTGTTCGAATACATCTCAGTAAAACGACAGATGCTTCAGTGTTTGTTCCTTGACCTTGCGGTTCACAAAGGTGCACTTCCTCTAGTTGACATGGTCCGCTTAGCGATGTATCACATGAGCTTTTTACAGATTGAATTTGCACAGCAGTCATGGGTTTGCAGATGTTCTTATTTATTTTCATTTAGTGATAAAGATCATATTTTATGACCGAAAGCTCCGGAACAGCTTCATTTCCATGACTTGTTGATGTCAATCTGGGCTCTGGAGAATTGCGTTTTATAAATTTGAAGATCATCACTACTGCTGTACTCCCTTTGCAAACGGATCCAATATGCGTTTCCAGATTATGATCCAGATCCTCGTTGGATGCTAACTAAGACTAATTTGTGTTTCAGTCACAAACCTGACCTATTGAGCCTACTGCCGGCTGAGCTCTGCTGCCAAATAAATGTGGGTAAATAAAGCCAGTGTGTGTGGAGCACAGCTCAGGAGTCCTGAATGTGATCTCCAAAATAAGCTGCGATGCTCCAGATTGAAACTGGAACAACCTCTCTTTGTGGTTCTCTCTTTCGCTGCATTCAGACCTCTTCTGTGTCTGTCAGTTTCACTAACACAGGTTAAGTTCTGTATTTAGGGGGGAGTCCCCTAACACACATCTACTACTGATGCACGTTTATTCTTAGTTGCATTACTGAAGGAAGTCATGCCTCTGTTAACACAATACACCACACAACAAGGATGTGTTTCAGTGCTTAGTGAAACCCCTTAATCCAAACTACATCCTGTCAGAGAAGGTCATAAGGTCATATTTTAAACCACTGTCATGATAAATGATTGCCTCTGTTCTACAGCTACTACACCTGGAGATAAGGCTTGCTCAAGGGCACTGCAGACACAATCTGACTCCACATGAATCCAGCAGCAGCCTTAAATAAGTCAGCAAAGAGGGCAACTTCATCAATAAATGAGTGAAGATGTAAAGTGATGCTGCTCATAAATCTGCTCTCATCCCCATCTCCACTGCAGGACAATAAAGACACAAAGTTGTGGTATCAGTGGCTTGGGGTCCTGTCTGTCAGCCCCCCACCACCCACCCCCACCACAGCAGGGCCGCAGCATCCATCCCCCCCCCCCCCCTCCCCAGCAGCAGCATCAGGAGTCAGGACTCACCCAGTGTTTTGACTGCGATCTGCCTGGTGAGAGGTGGAGGCAGGTTGATGCAGACCAGGTCCACATCCTGGTGCAGCAGCACGTCGTCGATCCGGTTGGTGTAAAACGGCACGTTCATCTCCTTGGCCAGCTCCTCCGCCTCCTCCTGGGTCCGGCCCCACAGCGCTTTCACGGCGAAGCCCTCGTTCTTCAACAGCGGGATGATCACCCTGGCGGTCAGGCTGGTGCCGAACACACCGACCCCTGGAAGCATGGTTTATTCGGATCTCTGTGTTTTTCAGTTGGGTTTAAAGCGCCGGGTGACGCCAGAGCTGCGGAACGGGAGGGAAGCGGCTGGAACCGTCAGGTTGGCCATCCACCTGCAGCCAAACGCTCGCTGTGCTGCATTTCCCCGTCGCTCCGGCATGTAATGTCGTTATTCTCCCTGGAAGATTATCCAAAACAGATGGCCACGCTTCCTTTGCCTTAAAAATAACGATTTTAAAGCACAATTCCGGTATTTACCTCGTACAAGTCTGACAGCGAATGACTGCGCCAAGCAGTGAAGGGCATGTCACCTCCTTCCTGGCTCTGTAAGTCCTTCCTCTGCAGGATTCCTCTTCAGATAAAGCGAGAAAGGATAAATGAGAGGCAGAAAGATGCTCTATCTGTCGGCATGTTCACACAAACACAGTGCTATCTTTCTGTCCGCTCCCCAGAGGATCTGCAGCAGGGCTACTATGCCGAAGGCTGCTACTGATGTTAAAGCGTAGAGCTGCGACGTCAAGTCAGGCACAGTGACCAGAAACGCTACTCGTAAAGAATTTTCAAAATAAAAGCTTTATGACACGCTCAATATTGTGCAACGTTATTTCTGTATTGAGGTTTACAAATAAATGTTTAAATACATCAATACAGTGTTATTTACTTTGAAAATAGTTTTATGTTGTCATTTTTATGTTATCTTAATTATCAACCCCACAATGTATAATTATTTTGTTTTTCATTACTGCATTATATTTTATTCCAATTCTATTTATACGAATTCAATCATAGTCAATGTTAATACAGCTATATTTTACTATCTTTTTTTGATGTTATTATAGTTCTATCTGTGTTTTTACTTTTTGTTTTATTTTTTTGTATGCACTACAACACCAAGTCAAATTCCCCGTATGTGTTAACCTACCTGGTAATAAACCTGATTCTGATTCTGATTCTAAAAGCACACAAAAATGCAAAGCAACGTTATATATGTGTGTGTCTAACCCCCTCCATTATGAACGCTATCGTAAGCATTGTCTCTCTAATGAATACAAAATAGTTTAGATTTTTATGATTATGTTTATGATTATGAGTGAATTATTTTTTGAATAACTTCATCATTAACATTATTGTAGCGTCCTTATTACCTTTGTCACACTTTTATTTTTGATGGATACCTTGGACGATATCCGGTCTGCTTCTGTCTTACCCTGTGTCACTTGACGAAGCCCCTCCCCCCCTCCTCCTCCTCTCCTTAACCCTTCAGCTACTGGATATCCATGATAGGGTCACTATGATATTCCAGTGGCTGTGACGTGCCAGCCTCACGAGGTGAAAGTGCACTTGCTGTGATTTCTATTAGCCTATCATTATCTTATCAGTTATGTCTTGCCATAATTGTTAATATTTATTTAATAGCATTTATTTTCTTAAGGTGCTATCTTCCGAATTAACAGCAAAGGGCAAACACATTTTCCTGTATACAATGTATTGTTCTTATAATCTAAATGGTGTTTATAATGTACTTATGTTGTCTTCTTTTAATCATTGTTATTGACATTTGCCCCAAACCCTGGACACTGTGGAGGTGGTGGGGGACAGGAGAGTGATGGCCAAGCTGTCATCACTATTGGACAGTCCCCCCCCCCCCTCCAGGACACCCTGTCTGCTCCTTCAGTGACAGGTTGCTGCACCCACGGTGTCTCACAGAGAGATACCACAGGTCCTTCCTTCCTGCAGTGGTCAGGCTTTTCAACCACCATGGCCCCTGGAATTCCCCTGATGTGCAATAACAATGTCTGTAGATATAAATCTTTGTGCAATATACATGCAAGTGCAATATAACCTCCTGAAATTACACATGTATTACCATGGTGTACATAACTGCTATTTTGTTTTTTATTTATTATGTTATTCATAACGTGTACATACTTAGCCATTTATTCCCCTAACTGTATCTGCTATATCTGCTGTTGTAATCATGTAAATGTAATGTATTCATATATTTATTTAACCCAAGTCACGATGTTTTACTAAACCTAACCATGCAGTTTGGTTGCCTTAACAGAATATGCACTGAGGGCACAGTCCTTTACACAACCATCCAAATGACAGTCTATACCAGCTGATGGGATAAATCCAAGAATTTTCATTGGATGAAAATATCTGAACAGCATAGCTTAAATCAATATGGGCACAAGACTATACTATTACACTGAAGAACACATATCTCTTAACTGTTTTTGGACTATAGTGCTGATGCTGCTGGAATCAATGATAACACGTGTTTGTGTTTTCAGTCTCCCTGTGTCACTTTTCCAGTTTCGACACACGTTGGGTCGGCTGTCAGCATCCAGTCTATTGATCTGACCAACAAAGCAAACAGAAGACAGAGACGGTACTGGGGACTGACAGATTGTGCAGAGAAAGTAAGGAAAGGCAGACACAGTGTCCAAGAGGTCAAAGGTCAGCCAAGGACAAAGCTCAAGGGAGTCTTTGTCAGAGACTTTTTGTCAGATCTGCACCAGAAAATGAAGCCGTTTTTGAAAACTGGATTATTTGGTAACAGGATTCAGGTTCAGGGTGTTGTTGCAATAAGATACACAACTTCCTCCTTAGGTAACAGAAACATATTTTTAGGCTAGAGAACAACTACTTCTTGCAAACACAATTTCATAATAATACTCTGAAATCTGTCAACATGAAAAGCATCATTTTCCAACAGTCTAATTTACTCCCCCTCTTTTATCTCTGTCACGCTCTAATTAAATCAGATGTTAGTATGGTTTGTTTGTTTGTGTGAGACAGATCATGTGACCAGTCGGGGGTCAGTCCTGCGTGGACTGGATGTCATCCAGTCAGACAGAAGGGGGGGTGCAGATAGATGGGGCAGGGGCAGCTGATGATAACCTGACAACCTGAGATGATGTAGATGGATCAGTACAGGTCAGTAACCATATCACTGTGTTGACAAGCATTTGAAAGCAGCTCTCTGGAAGACATTTGATACAAAAATGTGCCCATGATTGATTTGGCTCCATGTAAGTGGCTGCCATGGAGCTGCAGTTTCACGGGAAGGTAATGCCGCCCTCTAGTGGTCTGTCAGAGCTACTGCAGTCTTTCCAAACTATCTTTGCTCTTGACCACTTAATATAAAGTTCATCTAGTTGTTCCCATCCATCATATGTTGCAAATCTAAGGAGTTCCTGTGTAGTGTAATTACCCCTCCAATTGTTATTATTAAGGCCACACAATTTGACATCCTGCAAAGAAAGTTAGCTGATTCACAGTAGGCTGAAAAATCATAAAAATAAAAACATTTACAAAATTGTAGTGGGAAAAAACTGTTGCCATTTATGATTGAAATTGTTGATGAATTAGAAATAAATACAAGATTTGTTGGCTTTTCTTTAATTGTCACTAAGGTTGAAAAATGTTGTTTGAGTGGTTTTGTTCTATATGGTTTGCAATGTTGATGGATGGATAGATGGATGGATGGATGGATGGATGGATAGATAGATACTTTATTGATCCTAGTTACAGTAGCAGCAGTGTGTTCAGGAATGAAAAACTTTGAAAAAAGGTATAAACGTAATAATAAACAAATAAAAAAGTAGGACCACCTCTGTGGCTTGTACTTCAATGTCCTATCAACCATTGGTACAAATATCCATGGAAAATGGTTATTATAATAAATCCTGCTAAATTGTTGCTCCCCTGCCACTTTTTTTTACCTCAAAAGCTTGACATTCTCTTCAGTCTCAGCTTATTAAACATTATGTTTAGTGATAATTAGCCTATGTTGCCATGCTAACACTCTTAAAAACAAGGTTTAACATACTTGCTGAACATCATCATGTCCATGCTAATGTTAGCATGTAGCACAAAGCACAGTACAGCCAAACATGCCTGCTAGCACAACTGTAGACATGTAGCAGAGACAGTGGTAAGGCCATTGGTCCATAACGGCCTTAAAATGTCAACATTGATTCAATATTAAGAAAGCATGCTTCTTTGAGTAACTCATGATAAAACGAATACTTCTCTCTATTAATGAGGCAACCATTGTGAAGAGAATCAGGATGCAGAAACGTTTTGGTTTATTTCAGCACTTTTAATAATTACTCAGAGGCACAAATACAATTTACAGGGCTACCCTCCTCTATATGTGCGCCCACATCGACTTCCTGATCCAGACTGAGGCCTGCCATGAGCCTGACAACAGCAGAAACACAAACAGCTTCACCTCAGGAACACACACACACACGCACACTATTCTGCACGTCCTCGCACATCACCGATGCCTTTTCCCTTTCATGAAACCATTTGTAACATCAGTTCTGAAAGAGAGATGTGATTGAACACGCTTCTTTTTCTCCAGTCAAGCCTCAGTGACACCTTGAGGTAGATTTCTTTCTCCAGTCACCTCAAACATTGGAGCTGTGAAAAACACACTGCGGACAATCCTATATACCTCCAGTAACTCTTCTTTTAGGGTTTCGTGTTTTCTGTATGCACAGCTACTGCTATTAAGCTCAGTAACTGATTTCAAAACAATTTAAATGTTACATCTTTAATAATTTATCTTTACAACTTTCAAGGTTTCAAATGTCATAAAACTAGACAATTTCAAGTTTATTTATACAGAACTATGTTTCAAAATATAAAACTGAACAAGGAAACTGAAATTGTTTGAACTGCATATATTGACAGAGTTATTTGAACCCTTCCTTTGTACCCTGGTTGCTTCACTCTGATTTCTTTTTTACGTTCAGTCCAGGGTGCCACTGTATCCCGAGGGGGGGGGGGGGGGGGGGGGGGGGGGGGGGGAGTTATGTGTTTGTGCATGACGTGTTTTCTGATATGGGCTGGAACAAAACACATCTGCTGCCGTCTTCACACACACTCTCTGCCTCCTTCCATACAAATCACACGGAAAAATGAACACGTAAAGTAACAGAAGATCAAATATAATTCAACAAACACTACAGAGACTATAACTATATAGTAACATACGTAACCAACTGAACAAAAACACAACAAAACACGGATGTTGCTTAACTGACAATCTGAAGTTCTCATTTTCCCGCAAAGAAGTTCAGGAGAACACGACTTTCTGCTTCGCAAAATACTGCAGCTAATATAAAAAGAAACTGTGGAGGTACACATGAGGTACAATTAGTTTTCCTTCTTCCCTTTTTACAATTATTTTGTGCAGCATTTGAACCATCTTTGAATGGTCCTGGAAATTCCACTACTTGTTGCATTTTTAGAAATGTTAAAAGACTTCTAACAGGGATGAACTCTATCATAAAAAAAAAAGTAATTGTGCTTTTAATTTCTTTAAAGATTGTCAATGTAGAAAAAAGCGATTACTATTTTGTGGCTTAAAGATGCATCAATAATACTTCCACAGTTTCTTTTGTTTCATTTTGGCACTTTTTCTCCTACACATGCTCATTACAATACATCTACTCAGTCTGGGACTCAGAGCCTAAAGAGTTCTGTCTGGTAAAATATTATAAAAACAACGCTGAGTATTAAATAGTGTGGAATTATACTCTGCTCAGTATCTCTCAGCACAATGTAGCCGTGTGTCAGCCAGTGGAAAGTGTCACTATAGGCGATGGAACCAGAGGAGAGTTCACAATGAATTAAGTGCTGAAAGATAGGTAGTGCAAAGTTAACATTGCCAAACTACTATTGTATTAAACTACTGCACGCTGTCAAACAGCCCTCGGATTAAAAAAGATATATAGTTACTCCCAACTGAGCACTACTTTAGCCACCATAAATATGTATGCATTAAGTATGTCATCTTATAAAGCTTACAAAGGGTCCTTTAAATTACCTATGGCTATTTTTCCCTATATATGAAGGTGGGAGATGTTGACAATGATCAAGTACCAGTGATCTGAAAACAGGAAGTGAACCAACATCCTTCAGTGAATCATTGAAAAGGCGAACAACCACAGAACACCGACCTGAGCTAAATACAGCTTTTAATCTGACTGCTTGCCCTTTTGTAGTTTGTACTGAAACTAGTATCTTAGAAAGTTATTTTAAATGTAATTATTTAATAAGCATTGTTATGACATTTCTACAACTGAGATCAAAGTCTGTCTTCGATATGCATGTTTTTCTCAGTTCCAGCAAATGTCTCTGCACCTCCCACAGTGCACCATACAAAATAACAGACTACGAGGATCATAACGGCGCACGTTCTTTGCTTATCTTTACACAGCGAGTGCCAGTAACTTGACAACATCAACAAAAGAGGGAAAGAATATGAAGATGTAACAGAACATATTTTTCAGAGTAAAATGAACAATATAAAGTGTCTCTATGCTCTATCTTCCACATGCAGGGGTACAGCGTGGACGCACACTGTGCTTCCTTCTCTCCACCAGTCCACTGATTTAACGCTTCTTCCTGAGGTCCTTCAAACCATCAGTCAATCACAAGTGGTCCCGCCTTCCAACAACCCCGCCATTCATAAAAAACAAATTAGGCTTCTTCCCCGAAAAATGCCCGGTGACTGGTATCCATGGCAAAAGTCCATGTGTGCAGGATGGGGCGTAAGAGTTTTTTTGTGTTTTCCTAAGAGTAGATGGTGATGACTTCGCGGCCCCCGCCTCGCACCAGGAGGACCCGGTTCAGACCCTCAAGGAGAACCTCCAGAAACTCCATGTCTGAGAGGAGAGCGGTCAAGGAATAAAGCACAGAGACGTAAACACGGCTTTAGGCTATTGCCACACATTTACTACAATATAAATTACAACATTTTTTAAACGATAGTAACAGCAATGTTTGAGAAAGAGATGCCATGTCACCAAAACAAATATTGGACCCATTTTTCACAAGCCAGATATCTTCAGAACATTCTGACCCTATGATGGCATTTTTCAGACTTTAAATATAACCGATTTATTGGATTCTTCTATCTTGCACCATAGCATGATAATGTTAAGATAACATCGATTTACGCCCTACCTAACTATTATTCCTAATGATTAACATGTTTGTGAGCCATGACAAAATATAATGTAAGCTAACTAATATATATAAACACTGTTGATCACACTCTTCAAAGACAGGATGTTTATACCATTACACACCATTGGTGCTAATTGTAATTTGCTATTTTTACTTAATAACACATCACCTTTTAAATTAAAGGGGCCCTATTATGCTGCTTTGGGTTTCTCCTTTCCTATAGTGTGTTTTAATGCATGTAAATGGTCTGCAAAGGCAGAAATCCCAAAGTTCCCTCCAAAGGGAGTTTCTCTCCCACACACTAAACCTTTGTTTACTTCCGTAACGTAGTGACACACATTGTACGTGATAGGCTAAGGGACGGTAGACCAATAACAACAGCGCCGTCCAGCTAACCAATCAGAGCAGTCTGGGCTCTGGTTTCAGACAGAGGGTGAAAAAAGGTGCTGCAGCACAGGAAGTATGAGAGAAATAAAGAGTATTTTGAACAATAAAGCGTGGAGACATGTCACAAAGAGGAACAAAATACAAAGATGAACCTGAAAATGAGCAGAATATGTCTCTTCTAATACAACAAACCAATTATCACTCTCTTAGTTTTGTTGGTCTTTCTAACTTCTAAGTGTCTCTAACTGTTTCTGTCTGCTGGTTGGTGCTGAGCAGGTAGTGATCAGAGGGTTCTAAGAATGTTAAAAGGAAAAAAGGAAACCTTGTTGCTGCCAAACACAATACTATGAGAGCTGTGAGAGTTGTGCCGGACAACTCAAAATAAAATGAAACTCACTCTAAAGTTCCGTTAAGCTGAGGGTATAATGAATTACTCTTTGTATGTTCATCACTATGAGCCCCCTCTTTCACACACTTGTATTTTGTTATTATAAATGCATAGTATAGCAGCTTGAAGGATACAGTTTTCGTCTCCTCCTCTGTTACTGGGTGGTCCGGGCATGTTGAGCAGAACCAGGTGGGCTCCCTGCGACTTGTTGACCACCATCTCGTTCAGCTTCACAGCCGTGTGCATCCGGCGGACATTTGACTGGTTCCTGTTGTGATATGCAGGTCACAGTGAGAAAGAACAGCACTGACGAAAGCATTAATGCATAAACCAAACACTTAACTACATTAGTGATGGGACTCGTTTAGTTCTTATGAGACTGAGCAAGACATTCTTTTCTCTTTATATACTTGTGGCTGTATCGATTTTTTTTTGTATCGAACAGGCCTTTTTCAGAGCATATGTATGTCCAATATGTTTCCATACTACATACCTATTATAGGAATGTGATGAGTGTATAGTGTATTCACATAAGAAAAGTGTTGTTGGTGGGGAAGCTACTTGAAAACGATATTTCAAATCTTAGTTTGATTGACAACCTCACACATATCGTATAATAACCTGTCAATTAAAAACATGTTTTGTTTACCTACTGCTGAAAAGACTATATAAATCAAGCATTTTATATGATGATTGGTATGTAGTACACATCGTTTTAAAGTAGTGTGTAGTACAGATTGGGACACGGCTCTTGACTCGTCACAGTAGCTAATAGCATTAGCCATGGCTCGGTGTCATGTGTTCCAGTAATCCATGACAGTGAGCCAGGATGGACCAGAACCTGACGCAGTTAAATATAATTCAGCCATGATTCATTTTATTTTTAACATCTGAGCCTACTGGGAAATCTCAGACAAAGGCTTATTGTGGTGATACAGCAGCACTCCTAGTTAAAATACGAGCTGATCACTGAAGTCTTATCAACTTTATAAACTTAACAGCCACTTGCTTATGCCTTCCTCTTTAAGATCAATGCCAGAGCTATAAAACTCAGCGAGAAGAGCTTCTGCTTATCAGGATTTTCTGACTTGCTATGATTTAAAACATAACTAATACACTTATTTTGAGCATTCTGTCTGATCGCCTCAGACAGAACTTAAAGGCATAGTTAAGGGACTGAAGCGTATTGAATTCCAAATAAAGAGGCAACATTTGAAGACAAAAGAGACATGCAGTATCACACCACGAGGTCCACAGTGTTTGTTATTGTTTAGTTTTCCATTGCTAATCTTACATGCTGTAGTCTTTAAAACAAATTGAATTCTTTGTATTAATAGTTACTACTAAAACTCTGTCTCTTTGATATGTTGCCTCTTTATCATCACTTTCACAATGTTACATCAAAAGCACATGATATCAACTGCCAGAAGCCAAATTAAATAAAGGATAAAAAAAAAGACAATTTCACAAGATTCTGCTTTCCATTCTGCTGAATAAGAACAACTTTTAAATGTTCACATCTAGACCAAATTAAAAAATGTTTGTATTTGCATATCAATAAAAGTAAATGAAAAGCAAAAAGTCGCACATGCTATGTCTTCAACAGTACATGCAAATGAAAGCTATGGCGCATTTCCAGCGAACATAGTGTTTGAACAGTGAGTTCATGCATATAGGGACACACAAACAAGGACACACACAGAGGAACGAGCACATGAGGTGGAGGACGCTGAGCAAAGCTACAGTCACCACAGCAGCAGGACACACATACGGCCTAGAGCAAAAAGAATGCCACTTACAGACTCTCCCACTCTCTAGAAGGAGGAAAATGGGACAGAACAACAGAAATAAGCTTAGATGCTTCCTACACAAGCTCTCCAGCTCTCGTCACCACACTGCATGCTTCCCATTATCCCACACGTAGTGACACCCCCAAGAACACCCCAGGAAGTGACTTGGAACCATTGAGGCTTTGTGGAGAAGTAAAGCCTCCGTTTCTTCCCGTCCTGTGAGACTTTACGATGCGTTTACAAATTTGAATTACAAACTTTATTAGGCAATAAAAGTGGACTGCGACACACCTGATGAAGTCCACACACTGATAACATGGACAGTATAGGATGGTGTTAGTCTAAACAGATCAAAAGGAGTGCATGAGATCTGTGTGGTGCGGCCATGCACTAAGACTGAAATGGCTGGAAGTGTACACACATGCGCACACACACCAAATGCAGCCTGAATACACACGCCATGCAGGAAGTCGTCCCACTTCACCCTGTACTGCTACATGCGGTCATATTCTGTTTTTTACCACAACCTTTACAGTATTTTTCTAAAGAATATACAGTCGATATCAAGACAAAACATTCCATCCTTTTTTAGATCCTAAGCTACAAATGTACAGAGTTCTTCTTTCGGTGGTGTTGAAACAAGCGTGTACTTACGGTTTCATGTTGAACAGGTCTCGTACGACCACGTTGGAGTTGCACTCGCGGTTGCGGTTGCGCTCCGTGAACAGCTTCTCCTTGGTCCAGGTCATGTGAACGCGGTCGAGCCCGCCTTCCGCCTTGTCGTTTATCGTGGCGTGAGACGCTGTGTTTCTGTCGTGGATTAGCTGGGCCTGGAGAGGAGGGAGGAGGGAGAAAGATGAGGAGATCGAGTAAGGGGAGAGATGAAATGCAATAAACAGAAAAGGTGTAACAAAAAAAGGTGATAGCAAAGCCATAACCAGGACTCTATGGGATACATGAACCTGGGTAGTTCAGAATAATCATAATAAATATTAAATAATTGATGGAATGAACTAAGAATAAAGAATCATAAACAGAGTAAGGATCAAAAGGGAAGTAAAACCAACAACATATTTCATACAAGTTGATGAAAGTTGGGTAAAATCATGCTTAAGAATCATGAGAATAATACAAACCTGCTCAGCTGTTAAACCATTCATACACATTAATCACAATACAAAAACAAATATACATCACAAGACAATGTTTCTCTGGGCAGACTAAAGGTCCAGGTGAGGGTTGAAATAAAGCATTCATGGGGGATTGACATGAAAAAGTGCTCACATTAGATACAGGGCTTCTAAAGATACATACTACATGCTTAATATGTAACTAAAACACCTATTAAGCAGTCTATAATGCAGGGACAGTGTGGGGGTAATAAAGCAAAGCAGAAGTACAGCAGTAAAAGTATATCATTATTAAATAAAGAATAATCTGCTTTCATTACATTGGACAAGAACTCTTGTGTCCCTTTATCTGTGCTCAACAGTTATATAACCACAGCCGAAGACAAAGGATAACAGTAAATGATGGGTTTATTATCCCTCATCATAAAGATACGGATTATGGCCTCTGTGCTCCGAGGGTCCTGTTTATATTTGAATGTATCCTAATAAAAAGGCAGTGAAAGTAAAACAGCAGACTGATTGTGTAACATATGTAGCCACATTAAACATCTTTAATGTCTTAAAATACATGTAAAGATGAGGTTATGTGGTGAATAACATGCACATCCTTTTTACGAGGGACAGTGCTTTAACTAGCAGCCGAACAGTATGGATACAAGTTTCAGGTATACTGTAAGTGGCAGGATGGTGGGAGATGACCAGGGATAAGCTAAAAACATGATAAATAAAATAGAGAGTACAGTATTGTCAGGTCAGAATAAAGATAAATAACTCCTGGGAAAAATAAAAAGAATGCATATATTTGATCGTAGCCTTTAAACAACAGTAACAATTCAACTGCGTTCAGGGATGTGCTGTTAGCATGCTAATGTTAGCATCCAGCTCAAAAGACAACAGAGCATCAGTAGATCTGAGTATGCAACAAAGCTGACAGTTTTTAGGTTTCTGAGACAATACTGTCCACTCTTTCGTTGACATGTTTTTGGGGAAGATGGATAAGGTAGGATTGTTGAGTTAATGGGATGTTGGGCAGCAGTTTCAAGGTGCAATGGGCTAGTGTTCACAAAGCTGCTCTCAGTGACTTTACAGTAAGTTAGTATCACTACAGTTGGGACTTGTTGATCGACTTTTAAAAGTACAAGATAGAGGCCGTCTGTCATCATGAAACAGCTTCCCTTTTTGGGTTGATTACTAAAATGGCTAATGGCACTTTACATTGGTGTTTTCAATGTAGAGCAACTGGTTTCAGACTGCCAGCAGGTTACTGGTTAGGTATTAGAAAATATATAAGTCCAGATTTGGAACCATGATGACTAAAGTATTTGAAAAAAGCAGTGAAAACTGCAGCCAAAGATCCAGCTTTGTGAAGACAGGTCTGTGTCTAACAGTGAGGGATTTGGGGTTGACAACATCTGCTACCTCGTCCTCCTGATTGTCCTCCACCGTTGAGGATTGCCGGCTGAGGTTTGTGCCCTCAGAGGTGCCCTGGTTCTTTCTCCGGATCGAGTTACGCGATTCGTCCGTGATACTCTGAATCTGAGTGGTGTGGCGTGACCCAGCGGAGGGGATGGCAGGTGAACAAGGAAAGGGGCCAATTGTCATAACGCAGCAATAGGCCAGATTGACTAAAACACTGTTTGGGTGTAACTGTAGTTATTGGGGGTGATAAACTAAATAGCTTGTTTCTCATTCTGTATATCTGACCTGTATGATAAAATAGCTATTTCGCTGGTTTGTAATGATAACACTAACAACGTTCAGAGACAACAAATACTATCTTCTTGATAATTCATGGGACAATTGTATTATTATAAAATCTTAGACACAGTCCCAGAGACAAAGTGACTCTGAGAGCAGGGTTGTGTTGGTGCAGTTTACTTTACCTCCCTCTCCCTTTCAGTCCTGGAGAGTTGCATCTGCTTCAGCATCTGAGACCTCTGCTCCATCACTAAAGTCTTCTCATAGGTGAAGGCTGATATGTCGTTATCATGCTGAACAGGAAGAGGACAGAAAACACCAACATCTATATCAACTCTTTATGTATGGACCGTTAAGAGTACACAATAGACAGACTTAAGAGCTCTAGAACTAAAACTCAAATCATCTATTTCATGCAGCAGCAACTAAACGTGTGGCTGATAAGTTAAGAAAAAAACAGAGTGGTGCAGTGATGATGTATTTTTGTAGGTCGACCCAGTAGTCAGCATCACAGGGGGTCCCTTGACAAAAAGCAGTAAGATTTCCCCAGTGGACAAAGGAATATTGCAGGAAATAAAATGTGTAGCCAACACACGTTTATGATACTTATCACGTTTTGTTAAACGGGACAATCTCCGGATATTGAGACCACTTTCTGATTTTCTAAGTGTAAATGTATTCAAGATAAATATCAACCTAAGGTAAGGATTCAAGCAAACTCCATCAGGGTCGTATGGTTGTGCGTCACCACCGCTACGCTAACGACAGACTTGTCCTAACGTGATGACGTATAGTGGTCTGATTTAGTCGCTTATTAGCAACTGCTGCTTTGCACGCTTCTGACAACAAACACTCTGAAAAACAATTGACTTCGAGATGAGGGAACCGGAAGTGGAAAATGCTAAGTCTTTTCCGGGTTTTAGGACTCATAACTGCCCCACTCTCACCACTATAAAGCTTTGATAGAGTTCAGTGGTGTAAAACTGAACTGATTGAGCCTGTTTCCAATGTAGTAATGCATCATCACCATTAGAGGCTGTAATGCTATTCTATGAATCAAAGCCTCACCATTTCCACCACTTCTACTTCAGCGTCCAGTCGCAGGTGGTAGAGGAACATCTGGAGATCTTTCTTCATTTGGATGCTGTTGTCATCCATCTGGGCCACGGTGAAGATGCGCATCTTACATTTCCTCCACACCTAGAGGAGGGGAAGATTCCGTTAATATGGAAGAAAACAACAGTGTCAAAGAGGGAGAGTTCTAGGATAGGCAGATGGATAGGTGAGAATGAAACGGGGATTCTGGGTATGGATAATAGGAGAGGAAAGAGAATTTGTCGGGGTTAAAGAGGTCTTGGAGATAAACAAAACACACCAACCTTGTGCTGTCGCAGCAGGAAGGGCAGCAGCATCAGCAGGCCTCCATCATGAACCACCCACCACACGTCGATGGTGCCCTCCCCTAAGCGGTCCTGGTTGGTGGGGAAACTGTCCACATTCTTAGCCACAAGCAAGGCATGTTGGGTTGCCGTGGACTCCCGCACCGTCTCTGGATTGGTAAAGGAAGAGAGTGTCTTTTGTCTCTTTTGCACTGCATGGTATGGCTCTAGTGTACTTTATTGTTATGACTCTCCATCTTGGCAAAGCTACCATCAATGGTGACTTTGGTGTTTAATTCACCTGATCGTCTTTTTAAAAAGGGACGCCCACAAAACCAAAATCTGGTTGATTAAGGTATTACATTACATGTTACTTGTTAGACGCTTTTATCCAAAGCGACTTACATACTCAATACTGTGGGCAATCCCCACAGGAGCAATTTGGGGTGAAGTGTCTTGCCCAGGGACACAACGACATGCTGACTGCAGTGGGGTTTGAACCTGCGCACTAACCCACTGCGCCACACGCCTCCATGCTTAATGTTAAAAAAAGGGCAATGATAATATTGTGTTATTTTTCATTTGGTATGCTTTTGTACAGTTATGGATACCGAATCTTTCGCACAAACACTCGTATTTTGAGGCAAAACACGCAATAAACAAAGTAAGTAGTCCAAATATTAATCTGATCATGCATTTCTACATCAATATATGTTTTCAATATATTTCTAAACAGTCTCCCGCTTGGTACCTATGAAGTTCTTCCAGGACTGTGGGTCATTGGACTGCCTCCAGGTGCCGGGCCAGGCCATCAGGATGGTGTTGTGCTTCATGCCCCCCAGCCCCGCCGACTGGATGAGGTGCGAGACCCCATCTCTGAGGTTTGAAGACACCACCACATGGCAGAATCCTTTCGTTCTCTCTGCTGACATGGCAGACTTGATGTTCTGCACAGAGAATAACAGCAAACGTATAGTATGAAGGAGGTGGATAATGTAGAGCAATGACTATGTGTGTACTCATGGGGAAAGATTCCATGTTTATTATTACCACCACCTCAAAATAACCCTTGAGCACATATTCAGGGCTCATGGGTCTAAACAATGCCCATGGATACAGTAGTGTAATCTGGAATTCAGATTTTGCGGGATTGCTTTTGTAGAAAAAGTAATCCATGGATTAAAAATGCTTTTAAGGACAGAGTCAAATCAGGTTGCAAAATAATAAATCAAATTACATACTTAATTTGGCCAGTAGATGGCAGAGTTTCCTCGATTTTGGCTATCAAATGCTACCCAACTGTAAATCCTGACTGACGCACCAGATTTCCTGAAGCTGTTGAGTTCGACAGTAATGCTTAACAACGGATGGGCAGATAATAGATGACGTTTATAAAATGTTTTGTTGTTTTAACAGCAGCTTTCTGTAATCCAACTAAAAAAAGAGATATATGAGGAGTACATTGTTTTGCATGTGTGATTGTGCCCCATCATAGACTGCATGCTGCTGTATGCATTTCAAACCTACCAGCTCCGCCTTTTTGGACTCTGTGTCTTTGGTGAGATAGGTTCCCTCTAAAACATTTCCCACTATCGTAAGGCCTTTCCCTGCCTTCAGCTGAGTGGTGAGGGACAGCAGACGGGGGTGTTTGACACCTTGATCTGAGTCGACATTCAGGAGCACCAGCACCTGAGGCCTGGATACATCAAGAGAGAAAAGAAAGGGGGGACAGGTTTCATTGCTTGATCATCACATTTAAGAAGGTTCTTTTAAACGGCAACAAATCTCTTTACAAATGAAAACGAATGGCTAACATTTTGAAGGCCCATCATAGTCTAATACAACTTCCCTGGAAAGTAACACCACTATGAAAGCACATTATTTCTTGAGAGAACCCTTCTACTCCAGTAGGACTCAGAGGAGGGTGTTTTTTTTTGTTCATGTGGTGCTTTGGTGTTGTTTTTTTTGTTTTGTTTCTTTCCCTTAACTGTCAACTGGGAATTAAGTATTTTTTGTAAGTTTTTGTGTTTCTCTTATTTTCCTACAATACTGCAATGATTGGCTGTGAAGAAGAAAATATGAAGGACATATGTATTTTATGTATTTCTTTTTTTGAGAAAGGGGCAGGTAATATAAGATCATTTTCTTCTCCCTGCTCCTTTTCGGGTATGGTGTGTTTACAGAGACATGTTTTGTAAATAATTGTAATACATTGAGTTTGTGCCCGGAACAAATAAAAATGAAATGAAACCTTACAGTTCCACATTTGTTTGGCACAAGAAAGGAGGCAGTTTATATTTACATTTAATTGGAACCATCTGTACAGTTGGAAACATCAAATCCCTCAGAAGAGTTTCCACACTGAACATGCCAAGAATTCAAATGAAACTTTTGGACAGGCAGTCTGCAAGGTCAGCCAATGCTGGTCTCTGTACAGTTTTCAAGGCTCATCAATCTTTGTTGTCAGATTAGGGAGAGGACCTAGAGATTAATCAAATTCAACCTCTGTGTCTATTCCTGTCTCTCTCGCATCTGGTTCAACAGTATCAGGTGGCCCTGTGTTAGCTGTGACCTCATCGATATGAAACACAGGAGCAGTGCACTGTACCTCCAGTTCTTGGTGTGTGGGGGAGCCTCCTCAAGGCGAATGAGGGCGTAGCGTGCTGCGTTCAGGGACAGGCCCCGGATACCGTCTCCCCACTCCTTCTCTGCCCTGCATTCAACAAAGGATTGAACATGTGTAAGTAACACACATAAAACAAGAAGCCACATGATGAGATGGAACAATTCAACAATACTGTCGTAACATATCAGTAAGAAGAAAATAACCCCAATGTTAATCTTTGTTTGTTAAGCAATGCAGGCCATAAAGTAACTGTCACTGTCCTTAATGGCTGAGAAAAGAGCAAATACACTTTTTTATGCAACTACTAAAAAATAAAATAAAATATAACAGCATTCAACGATTCCAGGTTAATATGCTATTGTTAAGGTTAAGGTTAGTTTATTTATATAGCACATTTTCAGACACAGAGGCAATTCAAAGTGATTTTTGTGCTTTGTTACATATTTGAAATGCATATATATATTTGTTTAGCATTATAGTACAAAACCAACACAACAAAATTGCATGGATTTAGAATGAACAAATCAAATGCCTTGACAACAATCATGAACGAATAACCACAAACTAAATCAGATCACCACAGTAAGTATCTGTGGAGTTACTAAATACTATTGCAGTGAGCTAAAAAGGATGGTAATGCAGAGACACTAATCGTTACTGCGCAAATAATTACACATCCTGCTCATACAGTAGATCCTGCTAGCTGTAGCTCAAGGGATTTAGCACGTGACAGAATTAGTTTACTATACTTTGAGATTACGGCACTAACTGACAGTACAGATGCAGATTGTCAGACAAAGTGTTTTTTCTGAACCAAGGCTGTTTGTTTCAGTAACAGCGCGCCACACAGAAGCTCAGGGTGAGCTGTCGAAGGCGTTGGTAGTGAGCCTACCTCTGCTCATTCTGACAGAATTCTAAATGAATAGTTAGCACTCCGATAGAGCTACGTTCTTACGAGTTATCTGATTAACAAATGTATTTTCTTTACTATAAAACATAGCCTTATACTAGTAGCGGATATTTAGTTGCTGGACATAATAAATCAAAGAAGTAGCTTGAAAATAAGACATTAAGGGAACGTTGGTGTGAACAATAGGTACAATAAACAATAAAAGTACAGGGATCAATAATTTAGGGAAGGCTTTGCTTTCTGGAGCCTTCATTACCTGCTCCCCTCCTTAAATTATGCATTAAATATGTATTTCTTGCTAGTTAAAGATGACCTTTTTAGGTATAACAATAAATGCCAAGATGTCACATACAAGTAACTTAAAGCATTATATATTCTATATGTCATGTATCAATTTTGTATACATGTATTTTTTTGTTTTAAAATCAGTTCATTTTCTGTAAGCCGTTTTTCTTTCATATTTGAGCGTTTCCTTGCCATTGATTTACTTTAGATCTATGAAATAAATGATCACATTCAAAGTCCTCTTACCCTCTGTATTCAATATATTTGTAGATGCAGGAAGCGATAGCCATGGCCACGATAGCATAATACCAGGAACAGATGAACATGAGAGCAAGACACAAGCTCATTCCCAGGAAGGACAGAGCCCTGTAGGAGGAAACACACACTTTAATAAAGTGTTTTTAATACATACGCATCCGTTTACAGAACAACTGCTTCTCAGGTTTCTGCACATTCATGATAATATTCTAACAAAATGAAACCAGTTCAGAGTGGACAGCTTGGTACTGTCCTGTATTGAACTGAAGGCTACATCACCCAAACCACAATGAACATGTTTTTTTGTGGTTTGTGGTGTTTAAGTGTGATTCTTGGCGCGTTTCCTAACATTTTCATAAAAAAGCCTCTCTCTCAACACTAGGTCCCTGACAGGTTAAATAACAAATGTTAGAACTGCAGTGTTATTAAAACCTCAGCTAACCTTATAGACTTACTGTGAAAAAATACATTTAGATAGAAAATGCAGGGACTATTTACCCGCAAGATTGAAATATTCATTATCACGCACCAGTGGTAGTATTGGAAGCGTGGTCTCCAGTTAGGGGTCCGCAGCAGGGTCTGAAGTGCACAGGCCAGGTTGACAAACAAGTAGCACATGAGGAAAAACCTGTGAAAAGAAGACAATAAGCCTCAAAACACTACTTAATTATCATTTAAATCTCTACTTTATGACCAATTGTGAGTGGCTTTAGGAAGTTAAACTCTTGAGGTATCAAAGACTTTATCTGGTGATGAGATTTAATGGAAATGGAGCCTGTAATATTACTACACAAACAGAAACTGACATGGAGAGAATAGGAGCCACGGCGTCCAGGGAGGCGATGAGGATCCCGATCTCACAGATCCCAGCAGTCAGCACCAGAGCCCAGGTGGGTTCTCCGTTAGCTTTCCCATGACCGAACACCTGATACACAGAGAAAGAGAATAATAATATAAGCACGTGAGGATGAAGACTGCTTCCCCTGTGTTTGTGTTGGCGGTGTGTTTCTAACCTGCAGGAATGGTACGATGCCATCTCGTGCGATGGCCTGCAGCAGGCGTGGGGCGCCAGTCAAACTCTGTAGCCCCGCCCCACAGCAGGAGAAGAACGAGCCAATCACAATCACCCACGGCGAGGGCCATGATAGTGTGCCGATCACAAGGTTCCTTTTCACCGAGTCACCAAATCTGCAATGCAAGAAAAAAGCATATTATTAACTGGTAACAAGTTTTTTTCTGACAGTATTTCAAATATTAGCTGATATTCCTGTATTTTCTACTGTGAACTAATAAGACCCAACATAAATGTATACTACTTACGTAAAATGTGTGCATTCATGTAACTTATTAATACAATTTAGTAATTGTCCACTCTTCAAGTGATCAAAATGGGTTTAATAAGCGATAAAAATGAATTTGCAAGAATAATATTTGATAAACAGACCTTTTGTATCATGAAGAACACATTTTATCGTATCTTTAAACGATAAAGCTCCTGTTATTTTTTATTTGACTTTGTGTTTTTGTCATGAAAGAACAAAACCAACAGATATTTACTGTTTTTCTTCTCCCTTTAATATGGGTTTAAGAGCGGACAGTGGTCTATTTACATAACCCGAACGTTATGTATTTGCATGTAGTATGAAAAACATCAAATATAAGCCTATGATGAGATAATCCTATTTATCTGAACTCAAGAGGGGATACTAAAAGAGTTGGAGCTAAACCCAAATTAAACAACATGCAAACCGTTTTTATTCCAAATCATTTGGTGTTTACAGTTTTTACAGTACAGTATTTGCTCTGTGTTCAACTCTTACTTGTCCCGAAGCAGAACTCCCTCAATGCTGGCACCAAAGAGAACCACACAGGTGACGTCTGGAAAGCACTGTTCAGGACAATAAATGATATCTATAGACAAGTCTTTGGCTTTTCACTTTGCTGTAAAGCTTTAAACACACATTTTCCACAGTCTGAGTGATTTCCTTGTCTTTTGTTTTGACAGGTTTGATTCTTGTTTTAATGGCACTCCAGCCAATTAGATTAGATTGCAGTGTCATCTGGCCACATAAGGTGTGGTTTACAAGCTTCATACTTGGCACTTAAGGGGCCCAACTGATTAATCTAGGAAAACCTTTTAAAACCTTCAGTTTTAGACATGTGACAATACTTTTACAATAGCGTTAAGGATACAGATGAAGGAGGTGGTAGCGATAGCCAGGATGGTCCCAATGGGGATGGACTTCTGGGCATCCCGCAGGTCACCTGACCGATTTGACCCAGCCATAATACCTGACAGGGGGGGTCATAACAGCGAATCAAACATTAGATATTTTTGACAAACGATCTGCAATTTGGACCATTGTTTTGATGTCATATTCTTACCAGTGACAGATGGGAAGTAGATGCCGACCAGCAGTGTGAAGAAGGTGGAGATGTCGTTGAACACATAGGGCAAGTAGACGTCCTGGGAATTGTCAGTCGCCTCAAGAGATGACAACTCCTTGTTTTCCACCAACATACCCAGAGGGCCATATGTTGACCACATGTTTTCTGAGAGAGACAGAAACGGAAGTATTAGCCAATGCCTACAGCCAGAGAACACTGACCATTTTTTTTAAGAGTTCCAATCAGTTTCTTGGACCTGATTTAATAAAGGAATCTTTGACTGACATGAAGCAGTAGTTAAGTGGGTTTAAAAATAAAGCATAATATTTTTGTACCATTTAAGCCTTAATGCAGCGAAACAGTGTGGTCATAAAACAATTTGACCTAACCAGAGGAATAGAGCGGAATCTAACCTGTCATTATAACTGTAGCAGAAATATCATATAATGAAATACTTCCAGCATGGATCAGTGTCCATAGATTTAGAAGTGATCCAAAATAAATGGTGGCGGCTAAGTGGTAGTTAAAGCCGAAGTAAAAGGCAAACTTGGTAAAAGTAGAGGTGCAGACTTCTAAATGGACAAAAAGTTAAATGTATTCGACTTAGAAGGGGAGGAAGTATAATTTAGAGACACAAATCAAATGGAGATGGAAGAAAGCGGAGCACATGCTTGCCCCAGATGCTTCAGAAGAAATATGACAGGAATGCATTTTCACTAAAGGCTAAGTAAGTCTGTCTTAGCCAGCAGTTACATAACATGAGGAATGTCCTGAGTTTGCACTTTCATCAATAAAACTGTGCAACAAACACGATCTGCGTGTCCATTGATCTTTTTTTACATTTAGGATCATTATAACGAGCAATTTAGCTTGTTTTGTTTGATTGGTGGATGAGATTGGATGATACAAAATGTATTCTGGGTAATTCGGACTAGTATACAAGTACGTTTTACATTAGGTATTGGAACATTTCAAAGAGTTATGAGGAAAAGGTGAGGAGGGCTTTAAAATGTAAAAAATGTCATCAGAATTGGGGATTGCTGCCAAGTCCTGCAGTTGAATCACTGTGTTCCTACCTGAAATGACTCCGCTCTTCAGTCCGGGGATGCCCTGCACCAGGGTCACATTGTTGTTGACAAAATACTCGTTGCAGGTGGCATTGAGATCACGTCCATCACAAAACAGCCCCCACAGTTTGGTAGTGACCGTCATGTTGTTTACGAAATCCGTCTTAAGACAACTGTCAAAGTTTGTGTTCTGCAGAGTGCGATTTCCCAACATGCAAACACTGTGTGAAAGAAATAGAGATTTTTAATTGACACCCTATGAAGCTGATCAAAATCCCACTCCAGTCCACAGTGAAATACCGTCTTTATTAGCCACATTTTAGCATCATATTCTTCAATAGATGACTTATTGTGTGGACTCACGGAAAGTCTGGTGGCTCAAAGATGGTCTTGATGACTCCAGCATATATGGAGAGGATGGAGAGAATGACGCAGGCCAGGAAGACCAGAGCGAGCTTGTTGACATATTTCACCCCTACAAAGACGACCAATGACATCAGAGCTAGGCAGCACGTGCCGTAAACACGCATGTTATTCAGCAAGGCATTCACCTCGTCCTCCTTTTTCTCAGCCACAAAGATGGCTGCTTGAGGCACAATGTAGGTCTGAAGGGGAAAAAAGAAGGGGAAGAATTGTTTACACTCTAAGTTTTCTCCTTTCACCTGAGTAAGAGTCGTAGGTGGAGAATATACAGTGACTTGGAGATAACATTAGAGGATATCCACATAGTGTTTACTCACTAAAAGAATCTCTATAGTACCAAGGATGTACATGGAGCCAGCAAAGGTTGTGCCCAGGTAGAAGCAGAGACCTACAGCTCCACCAAACTCTGGTCCAAGAGATCTGGAAATCATATAGTAGGATCCTCCAGCTGGGGGAAAAAGAAGGAAAATGGTTTTATGAGAACAGGAAAACTTGATGTTATGGGTTTTCCAATACATCCATGGATGACGTTAACAAGGAAAATTGTTGTCCAGGTTTTTGATCAAGCTCTGGTACCTAAACAAAATTCTATGTGATATTTGCTATTAATAACTTTATTAAACTATATTCCTAGCCAGCAACCAATCAAAAGGAAACACTCTGACTGCCTATCATTCAATTATATTTCACTTCATGTTATCATTATAATAAACAAAAAACATAAAAAGGGAATGCTGAAATAAACCAAAATGTCTTGTTTAAGTTTGTGTATGTTTGAGTACCATAGCGTCTTACCTGGCACAACACCATTAGTAGCAATTGCACTCATGGATATGGCTGTCAGCATTGTCTGTGGAGAGTAAACAGTAAAGAACAACAACATCAGAACACATCCCTGAAATCTAAAGACCTTACACACACAATAATCCTTTGCAATGTATTTTTACAGCTAGTAATAGCTTATAGTTAATTTTCAATGTTTTATTGTAGCAATGGAGTTGTGATGTTAATACCCTATGACTTTCAACACAAACCTCCTTGATTTGTTTTTCACGCCCACCTAATAGTTTTTTTGAACTCCATGAAGTTTCTGTATTTTCCCAACAATAGGATACTTTGAGGGTTTAATCTAGCATTTAGCCTGTTAAAGTGCTTCTTAGGGGATTATAGTGTAAATCTTTTAGATTGGTAATGGATATGGGCTTTTCCATGAAATCATTCCAGACCTTGTGACGGAGGATATTTAAATCAGCCTGTTACCTAACCTACTTCCGGATGAGAGAAAGGACAGAGCAGAGAGAAGGGCAGGGAAGGCAAGATAAGAGGTAAAAGAAAAGAAAAAAGGAAGCCGTGTTAAGCCCTGAAGTGTGAAAGACAGAAGGAGAGGGGAACGTGTGAAGCTGAGAGAATATAGGGCAGGGGCTTGAAGATGAAGAAGAGGAGAGACAAGGACAGGACCGAGATAAACCTTGTGCTGGGCGTCCGGTTTAAAAAGCTGGAGGAAAGCCAATTAGCTCACAAGTTCATCTCCCACTTCCACTGAAACCAGAAGCAGATATACTCTCGCTTGTCTTGACCAGAATTGGGTGTAACAAAAGTAATATTATTACAGTAACGCGTAACTGTAATAATATTACTTTTGTCGGTAACGGAGTAATGTAACGCGTTACTTTTATAATTCAGTAATCACACTACAGTTAGCCTACTAACATACAGAATTACTAGATTCTCCCTTTGACAGACAAGAGGGATTTCCGCCGCAGGTTTATATTTACGTAACATTTTCGCGACTTGCACGTCCACATAAAGTGCATAAACATGGCTGAGTCAACAGCGATAACTTTCGAGGGGTGGAGGTATGCCCATTATTTTGAGTTCGTCCGAAGAAAGGACAGGAATGTGACGGTGAGGTGCAAACTGTGTCCAGGCCAGAAGCTTTTATCCACTGCTGCAAACACAACGTCAAACCTCAACAAGCACCTGCAAAGACAACATGCTAACGTGAAGCTAATAGCTAAGGAGGACCTCCGAATCCAGAGTGAGGATGTCGAGTAAAGTAACGAGTAACACTGTAGGTGTGCCGCATTTGCGCTTCAGATGAGGCTCCCTCCGCAAAATGAAGCACTCTCCGCAGTCTGCGTGATCTGCCTGTAGGGAGGGGCGGCCCTGGGAGTAAAGTAACGAGTAAAGTAACGTGTTTTAAAAAAAAGTAATAAGTAATATGTAATATATTACTTTTTTTGAGTAACGACCCCATCTCTGGTCTTGACCACAAACAGATCAAAGGAGATGGAGTCCCTAATGCATTACTGTTGAAATATGATCATATAATTCCCATTAGTCATGTCCACTACTGGATTTAACAGGAATTTGAGGAATTTAAGGGCCTCATAGAAGAAATTCAAGCAGAGCTAACCCGACCCAAACAAGGTCCAACCACTGCATAAATCAAAAATCATTGTAGTCAATTTATCACAAAGAGTATAAGGCACCAAATCACCCATCACCAAACTGCTTTATTAATGTGGCTTTGGTGTCACTCAGGTCCACATTAAGAAGAAGGTAACATTTACAAAATCAAACTGCTTACCATTTCTGACTAAATACCACAACATCATTATGTGAAGATCTGTGTATTTCCATTTGTGCTTTCTAACAGCCCTACTTATTCTAAGTCAAAAGTAGTGCAGTTAAGATAAATATGTTTAGACTTCTGTATGACTCAATAATATCGCAATTAAGATAAATATCCCACTACCAAAATCCAAAATGGTATCTAGTCTTATACCGCATTGTAAAAATGTATGTATAAAATAAATAAATGCAACTAATAGTAAAGTAACTGCAATCATTTGAAGATGTAATTCAACTGGTCTCCTACAAATTGTGAACAATACAGTCCCTACAGACCAGTCACACATTTTTTCATACAAATACTTTGCCCAGAAAAATAGCAGCACTGATTGAGAGTCAGTTCTGATTTTGATCATGACGTCAAGAATCCAAAACAAAATTCCTAGCCCTTGTTTATTCAATATTTGCTGGCAGTCACCTATAATCACAAAGCACCTACTGTTGACATGTTGTTTAGTAATCCCACAGCCTGAAGAATAATAATTATGACATCAATAATATTCTGCATGCTGTGTACTGAGCTAATGAAAAGAGTGTCAATATGTTAGCGTAAAGCCTGCTCTCTTAAGAGCCATTCTGAAACACTGAGCATCTTTGTTTTTAACTTCAAAACAAGTATGTGTCTCTTTATTTGAAGATCTACAGGCCGAATAACACAAATTGCAATTGCTTTCATAGAAAAAGTGAAAGTAGGAAAGATTTTTAAACTGTTTTGCGGTGCTTAGAGTAAATGTTACCTAGTCTAATTTGATCAAATAAACTGTGAATTCACTTTTGAAGACACATTTCTGGTGTTGGGTGGAGAGCCCACAAAACATGACCTATAAACAGGTAGCTGATGTGCAGCCATCAGTGAGAAGTCAGATGTGGTTTAAGCAGAGATAATGAACATTAATCTGTTCGACTAAGCTCGGCTGTCTTATTATGTAACCGCAGCGACGCAGTGGAGGGTAAACCCTCTGATGCACTTTAGCTAGATTGTAATAAATTAAATGGTGTCCCCATTCAGACGTTTTCACAGCAAAAAAAAGCTGGAATTACAGACACAGTGCATTTGATTACATTTACAGTAGGTCATTCTTAAAATAATAAAACAAAAATAACTGTCTGGGATTCATGGTTTTGATTTCTTCTTTCAGGCAATACAAATCATTTCAGGTTAGATTCTTGCCTTTAGCACATCTGACGTTTGGTCAACAACCATTAAACTGATATATTTTCTCAAATATACCCGCTGTGTGGGTGTGCATGTCCCCATGTTTCTGACACTTTGCATAAGGAAGGATTACACGTCAAGCTGCCAGGTACCATTAGCAGCTAGGAGTATATCGGAAAGGGAGAGTCACAGAGACTAAATATAGGAGGGATCAGTAACCACTAAGTCAACTCGCTTGTCAATCTTTACTGCTGTCAATCCAACATTTGCACCCGTGTGCCATTAGAAGTCAAAGCAGCATGTGTCACTGAAACACTCAAGCACTTCCACACATATTCACTGTGCTAATGTGCTAATACTATGTTAAAGAGAGAGCTGTGTGTGTACATTAAGTGCGCTCTTACATAACTTTGCTTGTCCTTACTCTAATGGCTTAAACACTTAAACCTTGATTGGACAAATAGTTTCCACGTCAAGAGTCTGAGTCAGACTGTACTTATCTATCTGGAAAAAAACACTGATCAGTAGAGTGCCTTTCATTTCCATTTTAAAAGTTACCATGGTATATAACGTACAGTGGAAAGCCATGTAGGTCATGATGGTTGTGACTTACACAAGAGCAGCACAGGACGACACTAGCTAGCGACTCCAAGATGCCGGCTGTGCCCACAATCCATGTGAGTCGGAGGAACAGGATGACCCCCAGAATATTCTGGAGGCAGGGGAGGTAGACCCCCATGAAGGTCCCCATCTGAGGGCTCTGGATGGGAAAAATAGAAGAGCAAAAAAGATATTGAAGTGTAAGAAAAATGCTTAAGTATGAGAGTGTGTGGTGATCAGGGGGTGAGGAACTTGAGGTTAGAATTACAGCATTGTTGACGAGAGATAAGTCTAAAGGTGGTCTGTCATTTTTCATCCAAAAATGACAGAAATAGCTGTTTTTAGCCACACAAATATCCTGCTTTTCCCGTTTAATATCACATTAAACTGAATATCTTTGAGGTTATGACCTGACAAAACAAGGTATAAAAGATATTTCCTTGTGGACTATGAGAAACTAATAAGGACATTTTTCAGGAAATGTTTAATATTTTATAGAGCAAACGATGAATCAATTAACATAAAGAATAATTGGCAAATTAATCAATAATGAAATAATTGGAAGTTTTAGCTATATTGTTTGCAACTTTAAGCAGCAAAAACTAATAAAAGAGAAAATCAGAGCGGCGAAGAAGACAAAGAAGGATTAAGGGAGGAATAAAGGCATACCTAAAGGGGAAGTGAAACGGGAACAAAGAGTTGTGTTCACACGTCATAGATAGTGAGTCAATTCAGTTATTGCCACAAAACCTTTATCAGTTAACAAAAGTCTGTTCTCAAAGTTGCACCAACAGCAACAAAGCATGAACATACAGCTTAAAAGGAAAAACACAATCACTTAAGTCAATAACTGGTTCCGACACTGCATCTAATCTACATACATACATACATACATAGAGACAGTAGTAAAGATTCAGTTTTATTTTCCCATGCATAAAAATTCATAAGCTATTGTTTTAGGCAAAAGGTCTTTGATTGCCATGAATATAACAGGAGTTTCTCATCCAAAGCAAACGCTGCCACAGTAAGAAATATGAAGATGTTAACATAACATAACATGTCGGATGAATATGAGCTGACATTTGATTTAGACTAACATCTCAGTGACACAGGCATGCTTTATAAGAAACACTCTATACTGTGCAGTAACCAGGGAGAACATTGTAAAAAATCCTTCATTGCTTCCACCCCAAAAGTAAGCATTCCTTTGCGAAAGAAAAGGTTTCGCAACAGCATGACAACAGGAATATATTACATTTTTCAAATCAATGAACTTGACAATTAGCTACCTTTTGAGCCATCTATCTCCAAATGTTCAGCACCAGTCCCACTTGTCCAGACAAAGAGGAGCGACAATGGTGTCAGCTTAATTCTATAGCAAGATGTTAGCCAATGGGAGGTTCTATTTCCAAGCAGGGGACAAGATGGAGCAACTGGCCTGGGACTGAAGCTGTGGTTAAACAAGCCTCTGTGTGCCTCATGGCAGCACTGTGGCTACTTTTCAGTTTGCTTTAAAAAATAAATAAATAAATGGCATGAGCATTCAATGCTGCTTGAGGAGCTCCTTGGTCTGACTCATAAATAATAATTAATAATAATTCCTTATATTTATTATAGCGCTTTTTCCATGACCCAAAGCGCTTTACAGGTACACATTACACATACATGTAACGGTCATGTACTGTGGACAATACCCACAGGAGCAAATTCAGGTGAAGTGTCTTGCCCAAGGACACAACAGCTTTACAGACGCAGCGGCGGCGGGTTTCGCCCCCTTGATCTGATGATCAATGCACAGCCCACTGCGCCACACCGCCCATCTTCACACCTCAAAGTCATCAAGGCGCTTTACAAGTACACATTAGTATCATACATGTACTGTGGACAATACCCACAGGAGGAAATTCGGGTGAAGTGTCTTGCCCAAGGACACAACGGCCTGACGCAGTGGCGGCGGGAGCGGGTTTCGAACTGGAGTTCCCCAACGCCCCCTTGATCTGATGATCAAACGCACAGCCCGCTGCGCCACTCCGCCCCTTAATATTAAGGCAGAGCTTCTGGACTGCGGGCAGTATTTTATATATTTTTTAAATATCTACTTTACTGCTGCTTTCTGACTCAACCAACAGGGTCAACAGGTCATATTGTGTGAAAACAAAGAATACTGTGCTATTTAATAATAGCCTTCTAAATAAGACTCTGTTGCCTCAAAGGAAGCTTGTTGCTTTATAACTATAGATTCAATTGGTCACTGGTAATACAGTGCTAAAAGTGAACATTAAAAAGTTCTAATTACTCAGTTCTTAAGCACAAAAATGGTTAATGAAGCGATACAAACTTACTGAATGAATTTGTACTAACTCTCTTTCAATATTTTATAGAAACCTTTATTATATACTTGCATATAGTATATATTAAACTATAAATGTGTCCAAATCTACAATGGTTAGGTCAAAGTACTGACTGAGTATAGGATAAGCACATATTAAAATGCTATAAAGAAGAAAACAAATTGACCAAGTTTGCATAATCCCAGATGGATTTAAGAATAAAACAAACAACAGGATTTCATCGGTCAAAGACCCTGTTACGTAATGATAGTTCAGCAGGTTCAAAAAGAGAAAAAGCTAATATCCAACTATACAGAACCTAACTGCAATCTGCTTGATAGAAACAGGGTATAAAACAAGGCTCTCTGCTGTACCTTAACAGCTTTCTTTTTGGGCCCCTCGTCATCGTCAGCCTCCTCGTGCTCCTGGGCCCCCTGGGTGAGGTTGGTGTAGTTCGCCAGTTTATTGAGGAGAGATGACACCATGGGGTTGCTCTCCATTTCCTCCTGCAATAGAGAACATGTTTGTTTAATATGATGAGGAACACAAACTAAGCACTTCATAATAATACATGTTATTTATATATTGCTTTTCCTGGTGCTCAAAGTGCTTTACAAGCAAGTAAAGAAAAATAAGCATTTAAGCATTAATCACTTACTACAGTGTATATACTGTACTGCAGTACAATAGGCACATTTTTACTTTAACTTCTTATGTTTATATAAATATTTGTATTATTTTTTACAAGACATTTACTTTAACTTTATTATGCTTTATCTTCTTTTTGATTGCTCATTCTTACTTTAACTTCCTCTGTTTATATAAATATATTTTTAATATTATTATATATATATATATATTCATATATTATATTATATTCATTCTAAAATGGAGCAAATGTCACAAAAAACCCAATTTCCCCCAGGATAAATTAAGTATTCTTGTTCTGATTATTTTTTCCAACTTATTTTTTATACCTTTCTGGTTTAAACGCTCATGCTCCATGACAATTTATAAAATGATTTGTTTGTTAAAAATGCCTTTTGAACTTTACTTTGGATTTGATTGGTTTATTGCCATCGGGTTAAAAGGACAAAAACTTCCAGGATCAAAATGAATGGTGCAATATTGATTTAACTGTTCAAAGCATGTTGGAATAGCACGGCTGGATCAGCTTCATGTGGAGCGGGGAAACAGAAGCCGCAGTGCCTAGTTGATTCTTTACCAGGGCCAGTGACCACAGACTGCCAAAGTTTGCCAAATGGCAGAGCAAAGCACCCGGAAAGAGTATAAATGCATGTTCTTGAAGGAATGCGCCTTTATAGCAAATAAAGTCTTTGATTCACTAATTGCTGAGCTAAGAAATGATTGGTACTTTCAACTCCTGCTGTATTTATATAGTTCACCACAGCTTACCCTGATGTTTTAGCATACTGTGCATTAATGAACAGTTTGAGCTTCAAAGGTACACTCTTATTCAAAATACAGAAATAGTTGTGGCAGTGAATGTTACTTAAAAGGGAAGTATTTGTAGTGTCTACCCCACAGTTTGGGTTTGTCCTTCTCGGCCTATAACTTCTTGCCAGAACAAATCACACTGTCACATTTCGAGTTAAACAAGGAGTACAAGGACCATATCAAGCTGATGAAGAACGGGTTACCTCAAAGAGGGCCATGTTGGTGCCATCGTAGCTGTTTCCTTTGTCAATGTCTGTGTTGTTGATAAAGGGACTGTTTTCTTTTGGGACGCCATCACCTGTGAAAACACAACACAATTATTATTTTACAATAAAATGTAGTTTAACATTTCATATGACCAGATCAAAATAAGAGTGCTCCGTCAGCCATATATGCGTAATATGCTTCCTCAAAGGGCAAATGGTCTTGGTGTATCAGTTCAGTCTGTATTTGGTGTACAAATGACAAGTTTTGCACCTAATAAACATTTTCTTATGCTTAATATATTGGGTTAAATGTGTTCTATCCAATATATGTACATATATTATGTATTAATTATCTAATTTAGCAGAATGATACATAAAGTAATTTGTTTATGTCCACATTAGAAGAAGAACGTGCGTCTGATCTGTAAGGTTAAATAAAATGTAGTTCTAGTTCATGTGGTTCTGTTTACAACACCCTTAGTTTTTCATAATCAACCAGCAAAAAACAATGAGTTATCAAAATAATTATTAGAGTTTATAAGCATTTTACTTACTTTTACTTTACTTTTTTTGAAACATCAGGGACCAATTTTAGTCTCTGCTTGCACTTATAAGCATCTGAGTTTTGTATTTTATAGAGAATATGAATATTTCTAGAGCGCGATGAGGACTTCTCATGATATTCATTATATCATTTAAATCATTTAGTCCTAATCTTAAAAAATGTAAATGGCCTCTTACTTATTGTAACGGAGCTAAAAACACACAAACACTGAAAGCACTTAAAATGCAGTGCAAGATTCTGCATGTCATGAACATGAAGTAAATTAATCAATAAAAACATTGCTTAATAAGAAAAAATGATGCATAAAAAAGGCAATCCGGCAGAAAAGTGAAACATTATAAGAGAAGTATGTCAAAATACATATTGCGGTTATAGCAAGCGATGTGTTGGATGTACGTCAGATAAGTTATCTCAAACACAGATCATTACAGAGCATACTGACAAAAATAATGCACATAAGACGAGAAATGAAAGATAATTTCCTTTCGGATGTCAAAGATGAGCTTCATTTGTGATGTCATGAAGTATTGTACTCTTTCAAAAACTGGAAACATCACATGAAACGATAAAGAGTATTTATATATTTACTTTGGAGATGCAACTTTGTTTGAAAAAGAAATTGACTTTAGATCTGACATTGGCTGCATTGTCCTATTACCCTGTCTTTCAAGGATTTACACTCAAATACTCATTAGGGTTGGAAAAGCATGGATAATATGCTTTAAACAGAATACATGTGGATCTCATTTTGACCTCCAACACTTTGAGCTAATGTTTTATGTATCAACAAAAGTTCACGTAGGCCTTATAGTGCTAATTTTAAGAAGTACACACCCTCTTCTCTGCATCTCCACTTCACAAACCACAACGGAAGTCACACAGTGGGTTTACGTCACACACAGCAACCGAGACATCTTCAGAGAGAACATTCTAGCACCAAACTGTGAAACCAAGGTGCGCCTTTGCCGCTGAAGCCGGCAACCGACACACTGAGCAAATGTTTAGAATCAATGAACAGCTTAGAGTGTAGGGGCTACACGCTGCAGTCAAGTCCAAGAACAAACAGAGAGGGATTTTATTTCCAGACAAATGTGTAAGCTAAAGATGATCTCTGTGAGCGTGTGCGCTTCACTCAGAGAGAAAAGCTCCTCTTATAATCATGTAGCATTGAAAGCACAAATGCATTCACACAATTTGATGTTTTCAGGGAGGAAATATTTGTTGACATAATATATCCTCCACGCTGCTGTCTGGTGGATATAAGCTATGATTCTGAGGAAGGAGTGGGAAAAAGTGTCAGCAGTAGAAGGAGAGTTAATACTGCTGACACAAACAGACAGAAATTGTTCAATCAGCTCCATAAATAATGGTCAAATTCCAATAAGACCATCAATATGTTAAATATAAAACAGGAATTAGAGAACAGAGAAAAGGAATCTCCTTAACGTATTTCATAAAGGATCACCTACAAAGAAGTAACACAAGGACAATGGAGCCACATTGTCTAGCCCTTTAAATGACTGTCAGTCTTATTCAGGTTAAACGAAGCTTTGCAAGCCCTGTCTGATTACAAGCGGCACAATACAGGAGTCCTCTACTCAGGCAGGTTACCTTGGTATCTGAATGTCACAACCGTTCTGAATTAAGACACGTAAAACAAGGTCATTTTGATGAATCATATGTTAGGCCTCATGCAAGCTTTTTTTGTTTAACCACTTTAGTCCAGTTAGGAGGCCTCCTTTGGTCAGATAACAGAAAAAATACTTGATGTATACATTTGGCTAAACAAATTAATCATCTTTTGTGTACATAGCTGTAAACTGTGACGGATCCACACAAAACCATGAAAATAGACATGGTGTCACCAATGGGACTTGTATACTGAATCTCATCTTACCACTCGTGTCATTTTACCTGCCGTTATGTCTCTTATGAACTTAATAAAATGAACCTGTTTGGGACATACTTATTGGTTTCAATTGAACACAATACTGTAATATCCCTACAGGGAGTTATCAGATCATGCAGTGTAGCAAGTTTCAAATGTATATCTACAACCTACAGGGAGGTCACTATAATAATAGCTCACTATTCTGTTACACAGACTCATGAGTAGTTCCCCGCAACTGTGATATAATATTAGAGTGATACAGCAGATACAATGCCACACAGTACAGTAAGGTCACAATGTAAGTAACTATTCACTAAACACGGACTCCATTCAAGTTGTCTTTAGATGGCTATAGAGTGACATAACAGCAGATAAAATGCCACAAAGAGTACAGAACCTAATGATTATCTGTATATCCGTATGCAAAGTGTTCAAATGCTTTCACACGGTTTTGTGAATCCGAGAGCACAGTTAAAGGTAGGGTAGGTAAGAATGGAGAAACCAGCTTGAGTGCGCTAGAATTTGAAAGTACGTAGCCGAAAAGAATCTGCCCCTTCCTTCAGACTTCCTTACAGAGCCCCTCCTCCAACACACACAAACGCGCACATGACCAATGAGGGCACGAGATAAGTTTGTGCACGAGATGGAAGGCTGACAGGCAGGTAGGCCATCCAGTTATTTTAGCCAGGCCGGCTAAAATGATTGGTCGTGCTTTTTACAGCGCCATGGCTTCCACAGATGACATTTTTGTATGTATTTATTGTCAAAGCATTTAATGTATTCATTGCTATCGGGATGTTAAGAGCATTCCATGGAATATAACAAAAAATGTTTCTGAAGTGAATTACCTACCCCACCTTTAACAAATCCTTTGGCATGGATTATGAATCCGTTCGCACGGATTATAAATCCATTCACATGGATTTACACATCAAGTTCTTTCAACCATGTGACCCCAGAGGGGCTACGTAACCAAGATCATTTCTATTTTCTTACTATTGACAGAAACGTTACTTAATGCTTCTAGGCTGCAAATGATTTGTTCCATTATTGCTGAATCAGTCAACTATTTTTAAGAATATTCCATAACATAACAGGAGAAAAAAACTTTATAAAAGCAAGCGCTGTTTGACCCATTGAGTTATTGAATTAGTTTTGTTAGATAAACGGTTTAAAAGCCAATGATAAATAACAAAATAAAAACAGCAAATTTAAATTGGAGCATCTGAACTGTGAGAAAGTATGGGTTTTACCTGAAAAATAAATATAAAACTTGTACAGATACATTTTTTGACAGTTATCAATTGCCCCTTCCGGCAAATTTGTGTTAATAGGAAATTAAGTCAATAAATAGCTGAACCATCTCCACTCTAGCATGCACTGCCATCTTCATGTTCTACTTTTAATGGATGAACTCCTGGTGCCCTACTCACAGCACGTGACGCACAAAAGCAATTAATTTAGCCGTAAATGTTTTCCAAAAATGAAGTGGGGTATAGCTGTCTATTTAAAAGAGCAATTTAAGGGGAAAGAAGAGGAGGCTGCTGGAGAAGGAGACACAAGGAGATCCTTACACTGAGCTCAATGATGATGAATGCCCAGGTAGGGAGAGACAAGTAAAGAATAAAAGTACTACTTCAGAACTAGGGTATGCAAATTAAAAGAACTATTCAATACCATTATGTACCAAAAAAAAGGTTGTGATAAACTGAGAAAGTGAGTTTCCAGTAGGAAATGTATTCTGGAGCCATGTGACTTTGTCTCAATTATACAGAAAATATCTGATGTGCCGCAAGTCATTCATTTAAAGAATTAAATGCTCAATGGGTCAGTCAATGGTTTATTTTTTAGCTACCTGTTCCCTACACTTAAATACTGATGTGCCTGAAAAGAGTACAAGATATATTCACAACCATATACAAATATTTTTGATCATTTTCCAGCCCCTTATTTAATTGAAAGTCCATTTTTGAGCACAGCTCTATGCAGGATCATCATTCATCGCTGGGACGGTGACCTGTGGCCGCGCTGGGGATTTCGTGGGTAACTTTTACTGCTTGATCCAGCTGCGGGGGAATGCGGGGGAATAAGAGGCTTGCAGCAAGGCTTAGCCCGGTGGTAATCACAGGGAAAGTCACTTTGTCCTTGTTCTGTGTAGCTCTTTAAAATGCAGTCTGAGTGAGATAGCGCAACATATTAGGTGAAGGCACAATGCTTCAATAAGCTGGGATAACGGGGAATTATTTTTAAAATCATGACCATTGTCTTGCAGCCGAGGGGGAATCTACCTGTCAGTCATCCCTAAGCTTGGTAGGGTGCTACACACCACAGGTTAATCATTGTCTTACATGATACTTGTTAAATCCTCTTTAAGGCCAGGCAGCAGGCTAAAACTGGCAATACTCTTTCCAAATCAGGGAACAGGGTTCTGCTTTTAGAATGGGCTGACGTGAGATGTGGTTTAGACGCCAAACAGGAAGTGAACAGAATTGGTCATGGTTGTATTACACCCTCTACAATATAGTTAGTACTATTTTAGAGAGATTGTATGCTAAAGTGTGTGCTTTGAAAAACAATGCCAACAACTTAAAGGTCCCCTATTATACTGTTTTTCATCAATATATTATAGGTCTCAG